GAAGTTGTGTCAAGAAGGGAGGGTTCCCCTTCTGATGCCTAAGGTGGACACAGAGCCGGGGCTGGGGTGTAGGAGACGCGATTAGACGTGGTAGAGATGCCGAAAGGCCTATCAGGAAGGCCCAGAGCGTTCCCTGGAGACCAGAGAAAGCACAGCAAGCTTTCCCAGGTGATTCCAGCACATTCTGCCCAGAGGGCAGGCCAAGGGCCTAAGGTCCAATGCTCATTTTTCAGCGTCCCCACTCTCCCTTCATAGGAGGAGCTTCAGGAGAGGCCCTCCCCCTCACCTAGCCTCCTCTAAGGCTCAAAGCTATAGGACATAGAGGAGAAAAATATTTGCCCTCAAACATCCACAGAAATGCCTTAGGATCTCCATGTGAAGCTGTTGCCTAAATAAGACTGGTTCTTAGCAGCCTTGGAAACAGAATTGAATAGATCACCTTTGTGAAAAAGGATACTGAAGCTCTTCCCGTACTGCAAAGAAACACTAAGTGGAAAAAGGCAGGGTTCTAAATAGCATGTATCGTCTGCTACCATTTGTGTAAAAGGGAAAGATAATCATAATGGATTTGCTAATAGATGTTATAAAATATCTTGGCTCTGCCCGTAACACCTCTGGAGGATGAAAAAATCAGTAACAGTGGTGCCTCTAAGGAATAAAACAAGGTGGCAGCATCAGGGATGGACAGAGATGTAATTCCTACCTCACTTTTGTGCCTTTCGAATGTTTTCTTTCATCATGTAGATTCGTTACCTACTAAATTTTTTCTTTGCATTAAAAACACTGAAAAATTTAAAATAATAATAATAATAAAAAAAATCAGAATAGTCTTTCTGGAGCAAAACCAAACACCCTTGCTAATCTGGACAGCTGTCTTCCCGGCACACACCAGATGCTCAGTTTGTTGAACTTAATGAACCTCCGCTTAAAAGAAAACAAAAGAAAATCAGAAACCAGGCAAACCCAAGGGTATCAGTTCTAATTCTCTAATAAGCTCTTTACCTGGCTGTTACTTAACTACCGCAAAAGACCAGACAACAGGTCCTTGGGTCACATGCCCTGCACCCAGTTGGGTCCAGTGCGCCAGCCTCACGGGTAACAATAGGTCTGGTGGCCTGTCCACACCAGCCCTTTTATAAATAGAAAACATATAATCCAAAAACATGATGCCTTGGAACCAAGACCACAAAAACAAACGTGCAGATAGGAAAATGATCCTGAAGGGAGATATCAGCACCTACAAGGTATCAGTACAGAAATAGCAGCTTGTGGGTTAAAATACGTCAAGCACCATCCAAAAAGGTTAGAACATGCAGAACTGCTATGAAATCCTCATGCCAGAGCACATGAAGAGGTGGCCTGAACTCCCTGTGCCCTGTTCCTAGGGACAGTATAGCCCAAGATGATACAGGAAGGCTGAAACACCCCTTGCCCCAGTCATCTATACTCTTAAATTGGTCAAAAAGTACTCAAAACCCACACTGCAAAAAAAAATAAAAATTAGACTGTTGTAAGCAGTAGGTTATAGCAGAAATTCTGCCACACGAATTCCATTGTATTAGAAGGCTCTCTCTCCTAGGGCTTTTCAAAAAGCCAGGTTACAGGCAAAGAATAAGATAGACTTCACCATGGTCTTCCCTAGGACTAAAGATATTATTTTGAGGTGTGGACAGGAGCTTGGGACAAGGGTGGTGGGGAACCACTATACTCTCCATGGTCCCTGCCAGAGATTCCCAGGAAAAAAGTGGAAAGGGAAGAAGGGAATGGCAACCCTCTCCAGTATTCTTGCCTGGAGAATCCATGGGCAGAGGATACTGGTGGACTACAGTCCATGGGGTCGCAGAGTTGGATATGACCCAGAAACTCAGTCAGACACACACACACACACACACACACATACACACACACAAGAAACAACAGCAAATGAGAAGCCCTTTCACCCAGATGTTACGAGAAAAGAAAGCAAGAGAGAAAAGGGCCCATATTCATACACAAAGAAACTACAACAATTATTCTAAGATGGCTGAGGTCTAGAATGTCCTAAACAAAATAACACAAACAAAAACCCAAACTCAGAATCAACTGTTAGGAAGGTGTGAATCAATGAACAGTGATCATCTTTGGTTCATTCTAGAAAACATGTAAAAACACAGAAGGGAAAAACCAAAAGTGACCAGATTCCTGCAAGAAATAAAGATGACAGTTTATCTTCTGATGAAAAGGGAACTGGCTGGCAGATTGAGAGTAGATATTTATCAGACCCGTGAAGGTGACAAAGTGAAGGTGAAAGCAGAAAAGAAAGGGAATTTCCCCAACTAAAACAAGATGTAAAGAACCATTCCACTGCACATGCCATCTGTTTTATTTCAAGCTCAAGAAAAGAACAGGAAAAACGCAGTGAAATTGGTGAAAGAGCTAGATTACCAGCAAGAATCAGTCATACACTTGTGCTTCTGCCAGGGAAGGCAGGCGCTGCTGGTGCTTTCCCTGCTCCCATGACTAAGTAACTTACTTAAATGCATTTGACACATGATCCCTGAACTTCCAAAAAGCACTTAATACAGTGGCTCATGAAATCTTAATCTAAAAATGTTCACTCATTTATAATCATGCTGCATCACACTGACAACTGGGATGAAGGGCCGAGCAGAGGGGAGAGATATTTGGAAGAATGCGGTGGAGACTGATATCATCAGGGACTTTATCACTGTGGGGGGTTTTTCTCCCTATTTTAAAGAGAATGAGATTTGGAGTCTAAAAAAGAGTATAATTACAAGGAGAGGACTAACAGAGACAATGAATTACCTGATTCAATAAAAGACAGAAAAATAAGCAATAAATAAGAAAATGCGATGTGACTTGGAAAACCCCACAGACATCTGTGCTACAATGAAATTTGGAATATGTTTAAATGAACTGGGGGAGTGGAGGCAGGGGAAAAAATCAGTTCCTGATAGAAAATACTGGCGGGTAAGTACAAAGAAAATAAGGATTAAAAAGGCAACAGAAGACTATATTTAGCAAATCCATAATGCTTATTGTGTGCCAGGCACTGTTCTAACTGCTTCTGATATCAAAACCTCAAAACAACCTCTAATCTAAGTACCATTATTTTCCTTGTTTCCGAGGTGAACAAGCAGAGGCACGGGCTTCCCTGGTGGATCACCTGCCAATGCAGGGGATGCGGGTTCGATCCCTAGGTTGAGAAAATCTCCTGGAGAAGGAAATGGCAACAACCCACTCCAGCATTCTTGCCTGGAAAATTCCGTGGACAGAGGAGCCTGGCATGCTACAGTTCCTGGGGTCACAAAGAGTCAAGTGAACAACAACAGAGGCACAGAGAGGTTAAGTGACTTGCCCAAGGTGATAGCCAGTAAAAAGCAAGGCTAGGGTTCAAATCCAGGCACCCTGGCCTCAAAATCTGTGCCCTTAACATCTCTGCACCCCACCCCTAGAATTTCAACTCAGAAGAGTGAGAAAAGTAGCTAGGAGTGAAATACAAGTCATGCACTTGCTAGCAACAGATCAACCTTTAGTCATGGTTCTGTGATGACCAGTCAGTCCTCTGACCTCTCCAGGCTTTCATTCCTTCACCTGTGCATTGGATAGGCTGATTAGATGAGCTCTACCTAAGGTGTCTTCAGCTCTACAATTCCACAAAACCATGCTGACAATCAGCAGTGTACAGACTGGTCTGCTTTCTGACTGGTTATTCAAAGGTGAATTCACCCTAAAACAGGCAGCACACTTGCTATTAAGGTTCCTTCTCTGTCTCCTGACTTTCAGAAGATTATTATGTCCTCTCCATTCAGGCAAGTGAAAGAGGGTAGTGAAAGGGAGGCTGTATGGTTTCTCTTCTGGACTCTGCTTTGTGTGGTTGCAATGAAATGGCCCTCGAAAAGCTCTGGGCCAGATCACATTAACTCTACTAAACCTACAGTCCCTCCCACTCCCAGGCATCTCTCAGGAGTCCGATCTTGGAGCCTGCCTTTGGATCTGGTTACTGGAATGCAGGTGAAACTGACACACTGGAGTTGAAGCAACCAGAGAAGAACTGGGATGATTAAGAGCATTCAAAGGAAGGAGTTTTGTGATGTCTAAATAAACCTTATCTTCTGGCTATGGTCTGTTCTCTTTGCTAACATCCACTCTTGAGAGTGAGACCACCAGTTCATTTGGAATGAATTCAACACCCTCTTTCAAACTAGTGAGCTCCCAGCAGTATTCTTCTGGAAGTAGGCCTTCAAAGTCAGAGTGCATCTGTGCATGAAGAAGGGCCTTTACAGGTCAGTCGCACAGTCCTCTGTTGAGAGTCCTGTCTAAGCATCCCTGGCAGGTGGCTGTCACTTGGCCTCTGCCTGCTCACTTCCAAGGTTGAGATGCCGGTTGCCCCGCCTAGCAGGGCCTGTGCTGCTGGACAGCTCTCACTGGGGGGAAAAAACCACGAAGCGCCTAGAACAGTGCCTGGCAAGGAGCCGAGCTCAGTAAGTGCGCCTCCAAGTGGGTCAAAAGCTGCCTCCTTACAACTTGAACCCATCAGTCCTGAGTGTGCCCCTGGAGCCCCAAAACGCAGAGACCCTTCGGATATTCGGGGCTGTAATCAGATTCCTCGGCCCTCTCCTTACAGATGCGGATCCCAGATCTCCATCACCAAGCTTGGCAGACCCCCCTCGCCAGAACCCCCAAGTGCGCACTGATGGACCAATGACCGGTAGGGAGGCCGCAGTCGGGGATGTCCCCAACCTCGGTATCTGAAGCTGCAAGGGACAAAGGGCTTTCAGGAAGGCGTATCCCACCCTACGTGAACCAGGCTGCCTCCCTCCCCGTCGGCCCTGGGGACCCCCGCAGCGCCAGGTGACAGGCCCCCTGAGAATCCGGGGCTCTCAGGCAGCTGCGCGATGGGCCGAGCCAGGACAAGGGATCTCGAGGCTCAGAGTCTTGACCCGACTGATCGCGGGCTCGATTGCGGCTCAGCGGAGCTCGCTCGGCCGTGGCTTTACCTGTTCTTGGTTGACTACAGCGGCCCAGCTCGCCCCCGGTCGCGCTCCCGCAGCTCCACGGCTGCCGCCGGCGGTCATGGAAATGCAGCCGGAACCCCTGGCCAGTGCAGCTCCCGCCGCTACCGGCCCCGCCCAAGCAACTGCCGCCACGCCCCTGACGACCGCTTCTGCCACGCCCCTAACCGCGGAAACCCGCCTGTTCATTGGGCAGCCCAGCGGCTGCTCTGCTAGCCCCGTGCTCTCATTGCACTCGGAGGGCAGCCCATTGGTCAGCGGACCTGCTCCTCAGAACGGAGGCGGAGCCCTTCGCGAAGAACTCCGAGACAATTGGTTATTTTTGACGTCGTTAGCCCATGGGCCAAGGAACTATAGGATAAAGCCAGCGCGGAGGGGGCAGGGAAAAGAGAGGAGGGCTAGAAGATGGGTCTTGTTTGATGCTGATGGAGGCGGGGTGCAAACAGGGAGGCAATTGTGACCACAAGCCGGGCGGGGTAGAGCCAAGTGTTGTCTGGGTTTGGGAGGAGGAAGGCACGCAGGTAGTTCAGCTTCTGGGTCTGAAGGCTTCAGGCCGACCGATGGACTCACCTGTAGTCCAGGACACCAGGGCAAAATTTGGGGTCGTGTCCCACGAGAAAGGAGGCAGGTTAGTGAGTCATCAAGCCGCAAGGGGAGGAAAGGATGAGGAGGCAGCCGTCTCTGGCCTCTTCTAGCTAGGGAGGTGTGATGGGGACATGCGGGGCAGTGTGGATCTCAGTTATTGTCCCACTGTTCTTTCTGTCCTTATGACGACCCTTGCCCAGTTAGAGGCAGCCTGGAAGAATGTGGCCTTTGGAATCATAACTAGAACTCTGTTGGCATGTACAGGTTACATGGTCTTGAGCAACTCATTTAACCTTTCTGCCTAGGTCCAGATTTCTTGCTTTGGCAACTGAGATGAACAGTAGTTGATGAGAAGATTTAATAACTCTCCACGCCTCCCACCCCCTGGGCTTTCTTGGTGGCTCAGTGGTAAAGAATTTGCCTGCCAACACAGGAGGTGCAGATTCGATCTCTGAGTCAAGAAGATCCCCTGGAGAAGGAAATGGCAACCCACTCCAGTATTCTTGCCTGGGAAATCCATGGACAAAGGAACCTGGAGGACTACTGACCAGGGGTTGTAGAAGATTCTGACTTGAGTTAGTGACTAACTAACTCAAGTAACAACAAAACACTAACAGTGCCTGGCACTCAGCAGGCAGGCATTCAGGCAAGACTAGTTCCCCACTCACTGACACATCGGTCTATGGAATTAGGACCAGTTCTAACATTCTATGAGTCTGAAACTGCTTTTGCATTGGCATGTGCTTTTACCAAGAATAGAACACTTGACTGACTTGAAAGGCAACTGCTCTAGGGCAGACAGGGCCACCCTACCAAAGAACCATAGGGCTGGAAGAAAGAGAGCACAGGATGAGATGGGAATGGCGATTTAGCCAGAGATGGGAAGTGGTATTTGTATCAGTGTTAAATTTTTTCCGACACATTTCAGGATTATGATAAGGAAAAATGGAGCTTCCTTTTTCCTATTCACCCATCCAAGCGTGCAATGGCTCATGTTTCATCGTTTTGAAGGCTAATCAGCACTGGACCCAAAACCGGTGCATAAAATCTGTCAGGAACTCCTGAAGACCCTTGCCTATTCTGAAGATGTGGAAATCCTAAAATGTGAACAGAAATAAACCTTCAAGCCTGAAGTTAGCCCCAGATCTTTGGGTCTGCCTTTGAGAGAACTCACACCCATGGTATTCTAGGTTGAAGGAAGAGAAAGAATTCTTCACTGATGCTCTATTTTTCATTCTGTTGTCATGTTACCTAAAAAAATTTTTTTAACCTCAACATTTATTTATTCCTCTATATTCTTTTCATTTTGGGAAAGAAAAACTCAAAGGATTATAGTGATGGACACCCCCCCCCCATAGTTCTGACTCTTTATGTTAATTGTTTGTGCCTCCAGCAACCTAGATGTCCTCAACAGATGAATGGATAAAGAAGCTATGGTACATATTTACAATGGACTATTACTCAGCCACAAAAAGGGGCACATTAGAGTCAGTTCTAATGAAGTGGATGAATCTCACTAGAGGCTATAATAGGCTAGAGCCTATTATACAGAGTGAAGTAAGTCCAAAAGAGAAAAACAAATATCATATATTGACACATATATATGGAATCTAGAAAGATGGTACTGGTGAACTTATTTGCAGGTTAGCAATAGAGATGCAGACATAGAGAGCAGAGAACAGACTTGTAGTGGGGAGGAGAGGGCGGGATGAATGGAGAGAGAAGCATGGAAACATATACACTATCATATGTAAAATAGATAGCCAGTGGGAATTTGCTGTCTGACACAGAGAGATCAAACCAGTGCTTTGTGACCACCTAGAGGGGTGGAAGGGGGTGGGAGGTTCAAGAGGAGGGGACATATGTATACCTGTGGCTGACCCATGTTGATGTATGGCAGAAACCAACACAATATTGTAAAGCAATTATCCTCCAATTAAAAATAAATTTTTAAAAAGTTTGTGCTTGCAGGAAAAGAGCTTTAGATCTGTGGCCAGTTGGATATGTGTGTGTGTTCATGTGTATGTGCATATGTATGTGTGTGTGTGCGTGCACACACACTTGAACAAAACGGTTCTGTTCCACAGTTTTCCAGTTGTGTGCTTATTTTTGTTTATTTATTTATTTTTTTGTTGTTATGTGTTTAATTGTACTGCTTGGTGGCTATACATATGTCTGCACGTGTGCTGGGGAGCAGGTTTGCTCCTGCTGGTGTTTACTGAAGGAGACTGAGATGTCTCATTAGGCTCTGAAAGGCATGAAGTGGCTCCCGAGATCCAGAAAGACTTTTCCAGCTTTATTCAGAGCCACAGATAGCAGCTGTTGGGAGTAGATTGCAGATAGACTTATCATTGTGCAAATGGATTTTTCCACACAGGTCAGGAACAAAGCTTCAGCCAAGAGTTCCAGAAAGGGATGTCCATCCAGTTCAGAAATTCTAAAGCATAATTGTGTCTCCAAAGCTCCAAGGGAGGTACAGAATGAGCCCAGGCAGCGGAGAACAAGGGAAAGGACATGACAATCTTTTCCTTTGCAGCTCTGGCTGGTTTAAGTAATGATCCATTACCATTTGCAACACATAGGACTGTTTTCTTATTGGTCTCTGGTTTCTGTTTCCTCTCCTCAGCTTTGGCTCTTGCCATATTCTGTTGACTCAAATGATTTCCCTCTATAAAGTTTTTCTGTGGAAGGCCATTTAGGGGAAGCGCATGGACTCAGTTTTGCCTTTAAATTTAGTAGCCTGCTGGGATTGAGAATTTTGGGACGGCTTGGTTTGAGATAACTATTGGTTAGCACATGGCTATGAGATGCATTTCTGAAAGCATGAGAGTGCCTTGGTATAAAGGGAATGAGGGAGAGGGTGTGCACCCACTCACATTCCGGAATGACTAAAGCTCCATCACTTTATTGAAGGAGCACTGACTCTAAACTCACCTGGGGTCTCAGCAGGATTTGTAACCAAGTCGCTGAGGTCTTCAGAGAGATATCAGGCAGCAGAGGTCAGAGTAGGTAGTGGGCTCTATTTATTCTCTTATAGCAAAGTCAGTGATTCACTCCGTCTGTTGTTTTCATTATCCTGTATCCTTAGTGAATGATTGAGAGCAGTGGGATTTGGCATCTATTCCGCTGGGACTTGAATCCTGGCTCCTCCTCTCCCAGGTTTGTGACCTTGGGCAAGTTCTGCACCTCTGTGTGTCCATTTTTTTCCCCATAAAATTCAGATGATGGCATTTGTGCTTCCTTCATGGGGTGCTGTGAGGAGCAAACGAGTTAATAGATGTAAAGTGCATCTAACAGTACCTGCCACATATTTAGCTCTTAATAAATGTGTGCCTTATTTATTTATTAGCCCAGAGTCTTAACCACTGGACTGCTAGGGAAGTTCCTGCCATAGTTATTATAGGAACTCACTTAAGAACATTTTTCTAAGTGCTAACTCATTTTTCAAGTTCTGTCCCTCAAAAGTAGTGGTCACAGAATTCAGGATCCATGAAGTGATGGGACCAGATGCCATGATCTTAGTTCAACATTCAGAAAACTAAGATCATGGCATCTGGTCCCATCACTTCATGGCAAATAGGTGGGGAAACAGTGGAAACAGTGGCTGACTTTATTTTTCTGGGCTCCAAAATCACTGCAGGTCCTGACTGCAGCCATGAAATTAAAAGATGCTTACTCCTTGGAAGGAAAGTTATGACCAACCTAGACAACATATTAAAAAGCAGAGACATTACTTTGCCAACAAAGGTCCATCTAGTCAAGGCTATGGTTTTTCCAGTAGTCGTGTATGGATGTGAGAGTTGGATTATAAAGAAAGCTGAGTGCTGAAGAATTGATGCTTTTGAACTGTGGTGTTGGAGAAGACTCTTGAGAGTCCCTTGGACTGCAAGGAGATCCAACAAGTCCATCCTAAAGGAAATCAGTCCTGGGTGTTCACTGGAAGGACTTATGCTGAAGCTGAAACTCCAATACTTTGGCCACATGATGTGAAGAACTGACTCATTTGAAAAAACCCTGATGCTGGGAAAGATTGAGGGCAAGAGAAGGGGATGACAGAGGATGAGATGGCTGGATGGCATCACCGACTCAATGGACATGGGTTTGGGTAGACTCCGGCAGTTGGTGATGGACAGGGAGGCCTGGCGTGCTGTGGTTCATAGGGTTGCAAAGAGTCGGACAGGACTGAGAGACTGAACTGAACTCAACTGAGACTTTATTTTTCTTTTAGTCTTTACTGAACTTGCTACAATATTGCTTCTGTTTTATTTTTGTTGGTTTTTTTTGGCCATCAAACATGTGTGATCCCAGCTTGCTGGCCAGGAATTGAACCCACATTCCCTGAGTAGGAAGGTCAAATCTTAGCTACTGGACCACAAGGGAAGTCCCAAATAGACTTTATTTTAAAAAATAATTTTGGGGACTTCTCTCGTGGTCCAGTGGCTAAGACTCTGAGCTCCCAATGCAGGGGACCCAAGTTC